ATATCAGAAGACACAAGGGTGAGATTCTATTTATCATCAAAAATCACTCTTCCTTAGCTTTCAATGAAAAATGTACTTCATGTGACGTCATCAAGTTCATGACGTCATATCATTGTCAGGGCATTGTGCAAAATTTACACTCAAAACGATATGTCCTAGGAGATATTGTCTGATCTCACACAAGCAATGTCTCCCGTGGAACACAGTTTTGGATGATAAAACTTAATAGAACTATGACACTAGACTATGACATAGATGAAGGCTAAGGACTTTTGATACTAAAAATTAAGTCTGTTATAAGTGAATCACACAGATTAGATAGAACACTGAATAATCACATTAGGTATTTGATGACATAGATATGTCATGTTAGATATGTGACATGTTAGATATAATAATGAGTAGTATTTCCTTTCGTTAATGATTTGATGACGTCTCAAAATGTAAATGTCATTTTTTGAATTGAGAATTAATATTGATATCCACCTCTTAACACTATTTCATACTCTTTATACTGTTAAATAACTTATAGGAAAAGGTTTACATAACTTTGTGGTCTGGTGGAAAAAAGTGATTTGTGTGAAATATGTGTGCAAGTTAAATTTGCAAAATGAGGAAATATACAGCAGAACACTTTACAGTAAATGAGGAGTCAGGGAATAATGCAACATAACATGTTCTTGGAAACATGGCATGCCATTTGAGTGAAAGTGACTAAGAAATATATAAAACCAGACAATGACACTATGATTATTACACTATCCTCACCCATGTCCACAATCATATTATAACATACACCATGTAATAGCACAAAGCAACGACTGTTGTTTCAGTGTCGTAGCTTTAGTGTGTATCGGTGTCTGTATCCTGCTCCAAGGCGTCAGGAAGGGGGAGGCATTCTACTTTGTCAGCATCTGCCAGGAGTTCTTTGTAATAGTTGTGATACTCTCTGGGTATAATACCCGACCTACAGAGTGACATGAGATCTTTTTTCTTGGCTGAGGAAATTGCTCGTTTTCCCGAGTACCTTAGGGTCAGAGGTCCACAGATACTCTGAGGTCTTCCCCGGTGGCTGCCTGTAGACACTTTTAGTTCTCCGAATGGCTCATTGCTGTGCTCAGACTTGAAGAAGTTGTTTTCTGGGTTGCCTTTAATGTAGCGCATCCAGCACATTGACAACCAGTTCACACGACCACCATCTGTAGGTGCAGCTGTCTGTTCAGGTATATATATATATAGGTGCATCACTCTGTTCTGGTATATATATATATATAGGCGCATCACTCTGTTCTGGTATATATATATATATATATATATATATATATATATATATATATATATATATATATATATATATATATATATATATATATATTGTTACCTGGGGTTTTGGGGTGTTATACCCTTCCACCCTAGGCAATCTGTCTATCCACTTTACTTCTGGGGATGATGTAGCTAAGATGGATAGTCAAGGATAAGTCCGGTATGTTGTTCAAGTCCATTTATTTTGGAATGAATTCTTTCACAAAGGTCCTCAGATACTTCCTAGCTTTCCTAGTTTACATGCAACACAGATTCACAACTTCATGGAAGAACTTGTTGGTTTCTTGCCCAACTCCTAAAGTTACAATTACATCTCAGCCATTCTCTCAATATACAGAGAGAACCTCTCAAGTCAACGGTGGGGCCAAGCTCTCTCGCTCTCTCCCAGTCAGCTCAGTTTTGATTCTCTTCACAATTTTCTGGCTCCTCCCCCTGTAAATCAGTCCTACCCCATATAAAAATGACTCATAACCCATCTGACTAATAAGTTACTTTCATTAGTCCCTTTTCAACTGACTCATATTCCAGCTGCACCACTAACTATAATCATTTCCTCTCTTCCAAGACTTAATCGGTACCATCAATTTCTTCCATCATAAACGTACCTTATTAGTGAGCTTAAATCATTCGTGAAGCATTCAACCGAATAAAACTTCCGACTGTCAGTCGCCAGAGGATGGTTAATGAATCATTACGTGTGTCCCTTTTCTGATTCTTAGTATCTTAATTACTAGTAACTACCTAAATGGTATATGAGTTACCCGATCCACGTGTTCCACTCATCTCCCTTATTAGATTTGTTGTATGCAAGGGAAATGAATCGATATGAATCTGGTTACTCTAGTCAATGCACTTTCCAAGCACAATGACACTTCTTAACTGAACTTCAAATTTTCCTTAAATATTTACCAAATATATTTTAAGTTTTCAATCCTAAATACCCTGGTTATAATATATATATATAGGTGCATCACTCTGTTCTGGTTTGTCTATAGGCCCATAAGTCTGTACTGGTATGTCTATAGGCGCATCACTCTGTTCTGGTATGTCTGTAGGCGCATCACTCTGTTCTGGTATATCTATAGGTGCATCAGACTGTACTTGTATGTCTATATGCGCATCACTCTGTTCTAGTACGTCTATAGGCGCATCAGACTGTACTTGTATGTCTATAGGCGCATCACTCTGTTCTGGTACGTCTATAGGCGCATTAGACTGTACTTGTATGTCTATAGGCGCATCACTCTGTTCTGGTATGTCTATAGGCCCATCAGACTGCACTTGTATGTCTATAGGGGCATCATTCTGTGCTGGTATGTCTATAGGTGCATCACCTTGTACTTGTATGTCTATAGGTGCATCATTCTGTTCTGGTATGTCTATAGGCGCATCAGACTGCATTTGTATGTCTATAGGCGCATCAGACTGCACTTGTATGTCTATATGTGCATCACTCTTTACTATTGTGTCTGTAGTATCATTACTCTGTGCAAGTATGTTTGCAGGCGCAACACTCTGTACTGGTATGTCTGCAGGCGCATCACTCTGTACTGGTATGTCTGCAGGCGCATCACTCTGTACTGGTATTGCACACTGCTGTGGTAAACATCTGGGCGTAGTATCCATCAGCTGTATTGATACAAACTGGGTTTGATTATCCTCAGTGGTATGATCTGGTGCTGGTGTATCCACTGACTCATCCTCTTCATCATTTGCGTCATACTGTATTGGCATATCCGGTAGTTTATCAGATTGTGCTGGGGTATCCAGTCACACCCCACATGGGTTTGGTTCATGTTGAATATAATCAGAATTGACTGACATATTAGTGGCAAGTGACCAACTTGTGGCTGTGGCAAAGTCAGATTGTAATAATTCATCTTCATCTGCGTCGGACCATAATTCAGACATCTTACATAGACCTAAAACCAGAGTACTAAACTAAGGGACTGGCTAATATCACACACTGAATTTGATAACACTAACACTCAATAATCAAAGCAATTTAGTTTCAATTTTAATTAGTGCTGGCAAATAACTTTTATACAGACAGCAAATCTCGTAAGTGAAATACAAGTATATTACCACACTCATGTGTGTTATATTTAACAAGTACTTATTTACTATTTACAGATATGACTTACCTGTAATGTCTTAGTGGGATTTCCGTACTGTAAATATTCCTAATATAAACGCACACTTTAGAAAATAGCTCCTCTCCCAAGGTTCAAAATAAACTAACCATGGCTAGTGTGAAACAAACCCTGTAAACAGCTGGGAGAGGCACGCTTATATATGGCCACAACAGAATAACAGTAATTAAGACCATCTGATCCCGGAGAGAGGTCCTTATCAGCTGTAAGTCTAAAGAGCCAGAACATTCCTTCAGCATATCAGTTGTTTTAACCGGTAAGGGAAATTCTTGATGGACACCACACAGTCTGCCAGAGGCGACTGCTGCCAGTTAAGGGTTATGGCATGAGAATATCAAGCGTGGCTACAGCAGTAGAGCAGGACTGAACGGTGTATATTAACATAGCATAACCTGGTCTATACCAAAAAGAGAGATAATTGATAAGTTGTTTGAACTCTAATGCATAACCACCTAATTAAGCTCCTGATTGCTATGGGCTTTTTCTTATGGGTAACATATCAGTATGTGAGTGCATTAATACCCTTACCTAAATTTGACAGAATTATTTAGGGTGTTCTGGCACTAACCCCTCGGTATGTACTTGTTGGAATTGGAGTTCTGACGTCAAATAAATCGTTTCACGTACGTGATACCTTTACGTACTTGACACCATACACTGCTTTAGATTTGGATTGGTTGTTTATCTGGAGATTCAATGACCAGAAATCGTCACCAGTAGTCAATTTGTTCGGATGACCTACAACTTTCAGTTGTACTTTGATCATTGTCAAGTTGACTTTTGTTTCATGGGGATTTCAGGTGCCATGTTGCGACGTATAGTATCGTTATCCCAGCTCCCCACCCACCACGGAGTGTCGTGCAGACAATGCTAAAAACAAGTTTAGTGGATCTCCGACTGGCAGCACCAAGGATACAGGCATGCTCAAACAGAAAAATCATAAAGTAGTTCCTCCATCAGATTGGCCCATGAGCCAACGCCTTCTGATCATAAGACACTAGGCAAATTACAAAATTGAAGTGACTCATTTGAAATTCAAATATATAATCAGCCAAGACATATGATATGACGCAAGCAGTGAGTACACGGGTGTAAGTGTGGCAATGCTATATATTACTGCAGTTGTATACTTACTTTTCTATTCTATTCTTTTCAGGTTTGATCAAACACACTGTATACTTTCGTTTGAGCAGTAGAGTCACGGATAATACGAATAAAATATGTACACGAGATCCCAGTTAACATATCAAATATAAAGAAGAGTTGACAGGTAAAATGTATACAATATATACACCAACTCCCTGACAACGTGAATTCAATAAGTACTCGCGAGCTATGAGTATTGTCATGTACCTGTGTGTGCTTTAAATAATTTAGAAAAGACAAACGCTCATTGCATTTTTCTGGTAAGTAAACAGATGTGGACAAACCAATGGTTGACCATCTATAACAGAAACCAGGAAAAAAAACAAAAGTATGAAGATCGTTTTTTGGATGACTAAGAATCGACTGTTACATACTCACCTCTCTCCGTGTTCCCACAGTTCTCATTCCCTGAAGTCAGAAATTGATCCACGGATGTCTTAAATGTGTCGTAGATGACCAGAAACCGACAATAGTCAATGGTGTTGTTGGCATATCCACCAGCAAACAGCATGCCTACACACAGACAGAGTCGGAACACCATGTTGTTGATAGAGCTTTTTCTGCACAGACTATGTTATCCAAGTCAGTGTGTATTTGGCCTTGAAGTCTGTTGTGTATCTATGACCTGATTGTCAACTGAGCTAGTCATGTGAATTGCATAATTTGAAGTTAACCCCTGTGGTGTTAATATGCCGCATTGCACACCCAGTAAACTTAAAAACAATACCAATTGATGTAAACTTCGCTTCATCTTTACGAGAGTTTCAGTGGGCATTTAATGAACTTTCAGGAAAAAACGGACAATATTAAACTGCACGAGAATCGCAAACAAAATATCTTACAAAATTGTGTACTATGTGACCACTAAAACAGCTGACGGAAGAGCTGGTGAAGCGAGGGCATGTGCCTAACTCATGCCACAGGCAGAAGTCATTTTCTGACACTATTTGGGCAAGCTCTGTCAATGCTACAGGAATAGCATCCATTGTACTTGAAAGTTTGTGTTGTACACATTTGTTGAAGTCGAAACACAACCAGGAACGTGAAGATCTGGGTTAGACTAACGGGATCGGGTGGTCAGGCTCGTTGATGTGGTTAGCACATATCCCAATCCCAATTCCGTAGATCGATGCGCATACTGCTGATCACTGCATTGTCTGGTCCAGACTCGATTATTTACAGACCGCCGTCATATAGTGGGAATATTGCTGCGTAAATCTAAACTCACTCGCATGGAGGAGACATTTCAGAATGAATTATGCATATCTAGTCAACTGGTTAAAGTGTACACTGTTAGGTGATACCAAAGCTATTTCTGAAAATCTGTTCAAGTGGAGAACAGTAAATAGTTGTTAGAGATGAAAGTGATTTGTTGATAGGGTCAACAGTGTCGAAAACGTATGCGAGTATACACATTTGTCTTTTCCTATTGTTGAATTGTTATGAATTAAGCAAAAAACTAACCACGCGTACAGTCCGTTTGAGACAGAAACGGACCGATGAATTGCAAATTTGATCATTGTACCAAATTGCCACATAAATATAAATAGTACACATGTTTATCATTTACTCATACCCAACAGCTTTCTTATATTTGAAAATTTTCCGGACTCCACCAAAAAAGTTGTTTATGAGACTATCATCATTGAAAACGCAAAAGTTGTTATCCGTCGCAGCGGGGTGAAACCGAAGAAACGGAACAGCCAGTCATGGCGGGGAACATCTCAAAATCTATTCCGGGAGACCTGTCGGTTCCTCGTCCGTCGTAGTGTCATAGTTACGACTTAAAGGGATGACAAGTGGTGCCACAGTTGCCTGTTGTAAGCCATCCCGAGACCAGTAACCTTGTTCAATGACGTTAGCTACCTTGTTGACACAATTTTGCCAAGTTTCAGTCGTGATTTTGTTAAGGGATTCCTTAACCAAAACCTCTACGTCACGTTATCTAAAAGTTGTGTTTGATCTGGCAACATCTCCTTTGACAATACCCCATAGCATCTCAATGGGGTTAAGGTAACAGTGATAGGGTGGAAGTCGCAGAATATCGTGACCCTTGCTTTTTATGTACCTGTCAACTTTGTAGAAAGGTTCACCTTTGTGGGTGTTTATGATCTCATATAGCTGCGGCTTCATTGCCTTTCAAGGCCGTGCGATCTGAAATTTGTCGAGCCATTATATCATATCACCTTTTTGACTGTTCGATGTCGGGGCTTTACTGTCGCGGTCTTGCATGCTGTGGTATGGGGCATTGTCCATTACGAAAAAAGACTTCTCTGGTAGAGCTGGTACCAACTTGTTTTTAACCCAATCGAGGAAAACCGCACCATTCATCTCAGAATGGTAGTCTCTGTTATCTGTGGACTTTGCCGTGAATACCAAGTCGCAGCCTGGGAGAAAGCCTTTGCTGGAGCAACCAGCATGGACAATGATTAGTCTCTCTCCTTTCCCTAGAGGCAGCTTTCTATGTGACCCCTTATCACCCCATCGGGTACCCACTGACTGCTGGCAGTGTACGAGGCATTGACCAAGGTCAAAATTATTTCTCAAGCGAACGATATCAGGGCGTTCACAGAGTACTGACCTATTCTCCCCCGAAATGTTCTTATACCGATACCCGAAAGAGTGTAAGAGTCGCCAGAGTGTACTTTGATACTCTGAGGTTGTGTTCTTGCTTCAAATGCTTTTTTAAAATTTTCAGCGATTTGTATTTGTTTTCAGAATAGAGCTTGTTGATAGACTGCCTTACAAGGTGTTTTTGAAAGTTGTCCAAATGTTTCAATTTGTGTGATTTTGACACGACTTCTACCTGCTTCGCATCACCCTCACAATGTTGTGTTCCAGAACATTTGTCAGTACCCTTGCTGATACTCCTAAAGCTTTTGCTGCCAGCTTACTGAATTTATTAATGGCATAAAATGGTTTGCCCCTTTCGGCTTCAGCACGGAAAAAATCGTACACTTTAATCATCAACTGTTTCACGTCAGCATTCAACTTCATTTTTCATCAGGCATGAGTATCCCGTGCACGATGAGATAGTGGCTGTTCCGTTTCTGCGGTTTCACCCCGCTGCGATAGATGACATCTTTTGCGTTTTCAATGATGATAGTTTCTTAAACAACTCTTTTGGTGGAGTCCGGAAAATTTTCAAATATAAGAAAGCTGTTGGGTATTAGTAAATGATAAACATGTGTACTATTTATATTTATGTGGCAATTTTGTACAATGATCAAATTTGCAATTCATCGGTCCGTTTCTGTCTCAAACGGACTGTAGTTGTTGTTCTGAAATATTCAGAAATATAAAAGACTTAGCGAACTGGTTAAGATGTACACAAACACAGGAGAACAGGCATCTCGTCTTCGTGTAAGCACAGACGTGTTTGGAAAAGGAACTAGTGGAGCGACTAAGCAGATAAAGTGTGCATTTAATGATAAAAGCATGAAACTTTGCACATTTATAGCCAAATGCGTAGTGAACTTTGTAGGAAATGGAGGCACTCAAAATACTTTCATTTTGCGCATGCGAGTAGTTGATAATAGATATTTTGCCTTTTCTAGCTACTGTTATAGTTTTGGGCCTGCCATCAATACCCTACTAGGACGACTTTTTTAAAAATACTGACCCAAAATACTGAGCAATTGCCATATAGTGCTCTTACTTCGTGTGGGTTGGAAGCTGAGGAAGGTTCTAAGCCTACATCTCTGTATGTTCGAAGTATCACCGATCTCATTCAGAAGGATATACAGTAGAACACGGATATAGCGTACAAACGGATATAGCGAACAAATTTAAAAGTCCCGTCAACAGTCCTTTATAATATCATTAAAATTAAACGCGAATAACGAACTCGTGAGTAGCGAATTAACGGCTATAGAGAACTGATTTACTACCCCCAAGCCCAACTAACGACGTGATTAGCAAACTCAGTCAGTGTCAGCTCAACCACTTAGCGGTATACATCAACCTTGTTGGCGGCGACGTGGTGTGCAGAGCAAAATTGTGGACTTTGTTAAACGTAATTAAGTTATATACATGTATTGTTGAGATTGTTGTGATTGTTAAACATGTTCTAGCTAATGTCTGTGAATGATAAATTCAGAATTTGAATGTTATGTCAATGTACATGTACAAGAATAAATATTTGTAGCCTCAGCATATACGTGTCTCTACATCTCTACAATCCAAGATGGCGGTCAAATGTGAATAACGGACACCGGATATAACGAACTAAATTTCGTGGTCCCTTGGAGTTCGTTATATCCGTGTTCTACTGTAGTTGTTTTGGCTACGTCTGCTATGAAATCTCTCATGAGCGAGATGAATAGTCGTTTTAACTTCAGACATCTGGTGCTCGTTCTACGTAGATCGATGTGTACGACTCTGGCCAGATGTAGTGATAAGTCATCCTTTTCTTCATTGTCAAATATTGAAGATATTCTTGGGATGTGAAACTGTCGGTCTGGCTGATTTTTTGCAATAAAATCCAAACAGAGACCAAGATGCACTCATGCATTGGGACCTTTATCAAATTTGGTGAGGTTAAGGTCTATAGAATTGATATCTGACATTCTGAGTGAGTTTGGAGCCTTCATTATGGTGATGACATAGCTGATGGGTGCTAAAATTGAACCCAGTCTTGAGATTCTTTGAGGTTCTGAGGTTGTATATCTGCTGGAATCTTCTTACTGGATGAGTTGGCTGTCCTTGTCATCAATGACTGATTGGACAGTCAAGGGGCCCAGTGGTTAATGGCTCGGATAACTGCCTAACCTCGGTGATTGATGTGAAGTAGCTTCTCTTCTGGAGACCACAGGCCTGAGGTTACATCTGTGCTCCCCTGTAGAGACGCATCAATATAGATATGCAGGTTGAAGCTTGGCTTGCTTAGCAGGTCCCTACGCAGACCTTCGATTTCATCGCCCACCACTGGAGATACTGCAGTAGGTGATGTGGTAGTTGTGGTCTGAAGTCCTTATGGTCCAGGAGTAAGGTTAGAAACCTCTGGGTCGTAGCTGCCCCTATTCGTGAGTGATTTGGCTGACGTTGGGCAGCAGGGGGAAGGGTGAAAATCAACTGACGTTTGAGTATAACGGCTTATTGAAATGCCTTAATGCTGTTGCGTAGGTAGAAGGTGCATCTAATTACTTTCTTGTGCAGGAAGGTCATAATGGGCTTGGTTACCTGTGTGGATAACAACGGGCCATGAAAATGCCAAACTGTAGAACCCTCCACTGGTATTTGTTATGGTTGAACAGGAATTGTAGATACTTTCTGGACCCAGGGTTGATTGGCATATGCAAATAGGAATCCCTTAAATCTATGCTTGCCAGAAAATTGTTCTGTCTTATCTCTGCCTTCAATAAATAATCGTTGTTGAACGTCTTCATATTAGTCTGGACTTTCTGATAAACTGTTCTTTTGAACCAAGAAAACTGGGGAGCAGAACCCCTGATCGAGTGCCTCTTGAGGTATAACTTCTACTGCTTCTTTTGATAGAAGTGTTTCTATCGCATCTGTGAGCTTGGGTTGTAGGGTTTCTGCATAATCTATCTGCGGAAGATAGAGGGGAGCAGTGGCGTCGTATACACCGGAATGGTATATCTTTTCCTTAATATGTTTGTGATGAATGGGTCTTCTAGAAGGTCCACGTTTGGCCAATACTTCCATGTGAGTCCCGCTCATGCTGAGCAGATCTGGTCGGAGAGAGACGCCTGGTACTTCTGCTGGTTGACGATGGACAAAAACATACGTTCTTTGTCGGACTGTGGATCTTTGAAGTGTGATATCATTGCCTTGTTGATGGATCTGGACATGTTGAGGCCCAGGAAGACTCGTCTTATAATAGTATCAAGCTCAGCAAGCTGGGAAGACCCTCCAATCTGGTAGCTTTGGTTCGTGATGACTTACAAAGTTGCTCCAATTGGTGGTAAGGTGAAGGAGGACTTAGTCTCAAAAGGGAGGGGTTGGGTTTCGTTTCGTTCGAAAACCGTTCAATATCTTTCTACAAGACTTGACAGATATATCAAACAGATCTTGAAGTAGTGCCTTTTGCTGTTTGCAGATTCTGGGCATTAATATTTTACATGATTTCCTTGGAAACGACGAATCCAAAAATATCAAGTTGGACTTTAATAAGTAACTGTCAGATGATTTGTGCTTTAACATTCATAGGGGCCTGGGGGATTTGTCATCTTCTGATGACTCTGCTTTTAATGTGCTGCATTTCTTGTGCCACTTATCATGTTCATTTTCAGTCATTCTTAATCCGATAAATCCCAAACATACACACATTTCAAGAGTTCAATAGCCCAAAAAGCTATCTGCTAGCCGCCATTTTGGGAAGAGGGAGTGTTCATTGTTTCGAAATGTTTTGTATTATTCTAAAATTATTTATTTCTTGTCTTTTCATGAACCTGTAAATCACTGTTTATGAAAATTATAGGTGTGTAATGAATGGCAATATTCAAGATTTAAGGGGCAAAGCAGAAAACAGTATGTCAAAGTTTATTTACTGTGCATGCGCACAAGATACAAAATTTGAGGTGCCTCCATATCTGAACATATTTCAGACATGTTTTTTGATATGTTGACCAATTTGGTATCATGATGTTTTAGTGTTGTCTTGATGATACTTTTCATCTTTCCCTTCTTTGTTTTTCACTATCAACAGAGAAATGAGGTGGTATCATATTTACATTTGCGCAAAAAATCTGTATCTTTACATACAAATGGTGTTTTTAAATATGGCCTTTGTCCAGCCTCCACCATTGATACTGGATTGGGATGAATGAGAACTCCAGGGTTTAGTTGTCGCTGAAGAAATAACCGAGGTTGGTGTCCGATGACTTGCAACAGACAACAAGCAAATATATGGTCTGTGAAAGTTTCTGGTTGTCTCTAGTTGTGTAAGGTTTCAGGAAGTATTTTTATCTTTCCTGCATGGTAGATGCAAATATCTGCCATCGCTTATTGATAATGTCAGGGGTATTTCCCTTCCGAAAAATTCATTTGCTGAACAACATACAGAACACCAGATCTGGAACCTGCAGCAATGTGGTCAGAAAAGTTATAAAATATTAATAATAATTGATTACAGAAAGTAGAAATTTCTCCTTATGTATTCACAAGAACGTTTCTACCACACAGATCAACTTTTATCATCAAATGAACAAGGTCGAGGTTCTTATGAAAGCTTGATCTTAGCCGCTCCACTCAACAAGCAAAGATTGTTAATAGTGTCTCGAAATAGTAGCCACAGCGAGTACAGAGCATGTTAGCTGTTCCCAGTCAGTAGATCTTTTCTGAATGAAATTATCTATCCGTGGTAAACATTCTGATGTTTTCAGCCTCCCCATTGATACCTCTGCGCTGAAGATGTGAAGAAAACATACCTAGACAATAGCTTTCATATTTTAAACCTTTATAGCAGCCTTGGCCTACCTCTCAACTTTTTGCTATTTAACTTGTTTAACGCTGGTAATCATCAGGCAGTAGAGACATGCAGTTTGGGTAATGTTTACGTCTCTTTTCTTGTTGCTCATGATGCTTGAACTGTCATGAATAAGATTGCGACAATATTCCCGTCTGGAATAAGAATGTTTACGTCGATTTTCTTGTTTTTCATGATGCTAAACTGTAGTGAATACGATCGCCGCTTAGAAATGCAGCCCTATCTACCCCTAATGTTCAGCAGTTAACAAAAGTGACAAAATCATTTCCACAATCGTAATGGATATCTGCCAGATTGTGTGCTTTCAACAACTCAGGAATTAATCACGAACAGTGATCACACGGATACCTGGGAAGGTCGAGGTGCCCCGCCCCACAATGCGTCACGACAACAAATCCAAGGTCAAATCCAAGACAATTGCCAATCTTGTAAACTCTCTCAGCGGCAGTAAAAGTGTCAGCCAATAATTACATTGACACCTACCACCCTCCAGAAATTCTTTGGAACTAGCCACAGAATGACTCTTCTCAAAATTGTTTGGGGCGGTGGGGTAGCCTAGTGGTTAAAGCGTTGGCTCGTCACGCCGAGGACCCGGGTTCGAATCCCCACATGGGTACAATGTGTGAAGCCCATTTCTGGTGTTCCCCGCCGTGATGTTGCTAGAATATTGCTAAAAGCGGCGTAAAACCAAACTGAGTCAGTCAGTCAGTCAACATTGTTTTACTATCAATTGCTATCGAATATAAAAACAGGCTTGTCAATGAGAGTTTGATTGTGTTTATTGATTGAAACATATATCATTAATTCAAGAAAAGGACTGGGCACAAGTTATCCAACTTGGAAAGGGCTCTCTCCCAATAATTACACAAGTACTCTTACAATAATATCAATGTATACAAGTGACAGACATAGGCAAGGATATGTACAACAGAAGTTAACAGAGAAAACGTTTTCTTTGAGAAACAGGTATGTACATATTTGAAAACATTCTGATTTTGAGTAATTGGGAGACCTGCATTGCAAGGTAAGGCAAGATTAATACCAATCAGTGTCCTATTTTTAATATTTTCTAAAGATTTTAACAGCTTATGTCTTTGAATAGCATACAATGATATTGTTTATTCACGACTGTTCATCTTACAAAGACTGATTAACACTCTCTCCATCACAGTATATGTAACATCATAACTCTCAATTTGCATGCATATATCTGTTTATGATTAGCTATAAAAGAAAGGCATGTGAACAATTGAGCTGAACTAGACAACCCAGTGATTGATACTGCGAGCAACGATTCATGTCATAGGGGAAAATGGACCTGCTATCACCCAAAATTTTCCATGGGATAATAAGGTATTAACTAATCTTATCTATATTAAGCATTATCAGTAAAGAACCACAGGGACGGTTTAAACATCACTTTCAACAATTTTTCAGTTATATCACAGCTTGAAATGTTTGCACATATTTCGTATTTTTACTCTTTAGTTTATACTGACTTAAAATATATTCTGTTTAGTGCATTTTAAACATTATACACTTCACTCTTCAGCTTCTCTTAGCCCCTCTCTCAGCTTACTGCATGAGTTTTCTGCCTCAGCCACAATGACCTAGATCACTGCCACACAATAACCCGACCAAGCGCAACAGCTCACAACATTTCTACTGTCAACTGGTCACAACAGGCGTTTGTGGATAGTGGATCTCGTACTAGCTGGATTATTTGGACATTATATTGGAGCTCTTGAGATCATTTCTGAAGGTTGGTCTCTTTCAATACTTTTGTAGAATGTACATATTCATTTGATGTGTACATGTATTGTGTTTATGCTTTGGCAATTATTATTATTTGATAATCATATTGTAAGTATTTAGAAGTTTATGTTAACTAGTTGTGTTGCAGAATGTAATGCATTATCAGTGTTAAACTTAATCTTTAAGTAATATACAGCTGATGTATGAATGTGTAATGTGTAAACGCATGAATGTATCTGTAAATGTACCCATGCATATTGTGTGAATGTAGGAATGAAGCCGGTTTTATCATTATGTATATTGTAAATGTTTCTCATTACTCAACAATAACTAACGTATTTGTTTGTATTGTTATTGCTGTCGTTTGATTAGTGTGCACAGTTTGCATAGATGTTTATTTATTTATGGAGACGTATCTGTATTGCTCGTGCAGCTGCCGGTGTGTACTGATTGTACCCAGGTCCACACACTTGGTAGGTTTATTATATGTTATGCATTGTGTAATGTCTAAATGATAAGAAATGCATCGTATTAATCTGTTTCCCTATATGATATGTATATGCATATCTATGTATGAATTAAAGTATATATGGAATATGTCATCAATGAAGTGTTGATGCAATATATATGAAATAGGTTAGCAATAATAATATTTTGTAAATGGTTATATTTAAAGATGATGTTAATGATTGACATTATCTATCAGTATATTTATGTTTTCTCTAAAGAATGTTTTAATTGTTTCTGGGGTTTTATATGAATTATCAGAAAATAAACGGCCATTACATTTTTCCCATTGTGAAACGCCATAAGAACCCTGTACGATCTGGGTCACGGCAGGAGTTTGCAGATCCCGTGACAGTTTTGGGTGTGTCAAATCCTGGGGTCCAGAACATCCGGTCTATAATTGTTTCACAATGACCGATTTTAATGTTGCAAAGTACGAATTCCTCCCAACCCACAACATAGAAATATCTCATAGTAAAGACAACACTGGTTATAGTGGGAGAGAGGACGAGGACAGAAGCCAGCTGGGCCAGTTTCGTACTTGTAAGCCTGTCAATCCTGGATCTCACACTCAGGGACATCACACCTTTCGAAGCGGGATGATGGATCCGTTGTGTAACACCATGCAAACCCTTCGTAATCTGGGTCACGGCAGTAGTTAGCGGATTCTGTGACACTTGGGGGAGGGTCAAATCCTGGGATGGAGAACTTAGCGTCTTGATAATTGTTGTGACCGTGTGGCTCCTGAGAATCCCATCGCTGACAGACCCTGCCAGTTGTGGTGTTTGATACAGTTCCGGTGTACAACGCTCTTCCAGTAGGTGCCAACCAACAGCTAGAGACTGTCAAGGCAAACATGAAATAGGTGATAAATAGAGTCATACCGATCATCACTGAGCAAGGCAAATCGATGCGTCTAGGGGAATGAATAGCTCATTCTTCTTATTGCATAATTAATTCAAGCAGTGATCACTTTGACATTGAAATAAGTTGCATCCTTACGGTTGAAACACTTCAAGTTGACCTTCGTCCAGTTCCTGTCTTTTTGACACCAGCCCGTTGGTTGTTGACCAAGATGGACGCTCACGAAACCCGTCTTGCATGTGTAGGTGGCAATGGATTGAAAACCCGATGAAATGTAGACGTCTGTGTTTTGTTGTTGAGGCGGAGGACCACAATCTGCACTCCGCTCCGACGTCAGGTTGGCTGTAAAGTTAATATACTTAGACACATTACAACCAGGATCTTTTCCGATAATCAAAATGATGAGTTCGTCATAACGGTAGTTTACTGTGTTTACCCGTGTGTGCACCCCCCTACTCAGTCATAGGCGCCTTTTAGACACCTAGACATTGTTGTTTTCTTCAGTAGAGTTTACTAATGTAGGTACGTTTAACAAACTACGAACAAATTAGTTTTTGCTACCTTGTGTGTCATAAGACAAAAATCAGGATTATTGGAACACAGGTAATATGTATTCCGGGTGTTCCCAAGCATTACTCCAGTCACGATGTATATTTATTCCAGTTCAGTTTACACGACCATGCTCCCCTGCATCTCCCGTGCCTCCATGCACCCGACCCCCGACCCTCATCCCTACCCCGCAGGAATTAAGTATTCCAGAGGCATAAAAAGTCTGTTTTACTTGATTTAAATAAGCATTACCTAGGGTTCTCTCCAGGTAACTGATACGAGCCACTTTGTTTTGTTGTCATTTAACAGCTTCTCTGTAACAAAAACGATCACTTTACACATGCGGAATCTTGATTTTGTTCAATATACTTTCACCTTTGGAAATATTTGCTAACAGTAGATACCATTTTTCGATTCTGACTATATTATTTGCATGTCATTGTGAGTCACTATCAAATATGAGAACACTATGATATCATGTATTCCCACAAGATTGTGTCCTGCCCTTCCGGCGGCATATACGGACTATCGATGTTGATAAATATACGAAAACATACATTATTTCATCTTTGGAAATATCTGCTTACTGGAAAAAAGTTTTCGATTCCAATTATATCATTTGCATGTACTTATGGGTTACTATCAAATATGATAGCACTATGATATCATGTATTAACACATAGGAAAAGGTGGCACCCGTTACAGACATATGCAACAGCAAGTCAATTGGTCACCTAAAACACTGTATCATATGGTGGAAATAACAATATGGTTTGTTGCTTAACGCCAAGAATTACTGGGTGACAGTGCAATGGTACGGGGTGGCATCACAACTGATTCGAGAACTAAAGATTGTTAATGTCAAACTGAGAGTCCAGAACTTCATTATTCGATGTTATGTTCTAACTTTGTGCAATTCCTGGAAGGTAACAGAAGACTAATGGCTCCGACTAATATTCCGTACGTAGTCAGTTTTGTTATAATGCCATTCCACCCACCTTAACATCCGTTCGGGTGAATGGCCAGGAGACGGAACCACTGATTTCCGTTCTATCCACTATACCATTCCCATGACCGTAGAACAGTATGAACGAATAACATGATTCTATGGGTGGCATCACAACTAATGCGAGTTCAAAACTCAACATTGTTAATGGCAGACCAGAACGACATCGTTCGAGATCATGTTCTAAACTTTTTGCATTTAAAGGAACGAAATATTAGAATTATGGATGATTGTAAAATTCAAGACCTAGTCATTATTTTTCAGTTCCGGTCTATACCAATACTCCACCGAGTTAACGTCCAGGCTAGATTTTCGAAGCTCTCTTAGCGCTAAAATTGTCGTAAGGTAATGTTAATGTATGGCACTTTCGACTATCTTAGCGCTGAACCTGCACCTAGGCCCTGAACAACAGTGCTTCCACTCTATCCACTACACCAATGTGACGACCTCACACCAGTAGGAATGAGCAACATAAAGCTATTTGAGAAAGGATTACACACCGACTTTGTTCTCCAGGTCAATAACACGTCTGTCCACAGCTGCCAGGCAGGCTGTTTTGTTTTCTGAAAATGTCATTTGCAATTACTTCCCCTGGAGATTCAGGATTAGAATTGATTCCAGTTAGACCCGAGCCCTTGTACATATCTATTATATATGTACTCAAGCTAAATGAGAAGAAAGTGTATTAAATATATAAGAGCTCATGACGGATAATGCCATTTAAATATGTGTAGGAGATCACAGGTAAATTGTATACAATATATGTATATATATATGTGTGTGTGTGTGTGTGTGTGTGTGTGTGTTAAGGCCAAATTGATTACGTATTTCATGAGCGCTTTATCTAAATTCCCACTCAGTTCATGGGAGGTAACTCTAATTCAGTTTTGCTTTGAATGTAGTGTCACATACGCACGCGGTTATCGTGCAGTGTGGAATGCAGGGTAGAATGTGGAAGGACACGTGTGGAGGAAGAGGTGATACAAAATGGTATGGAAACACTTTATTTTTCTCAACATTATACATGTATTTAATGTCTATTTGATAACCAACAGTTGTAAACAATATATTCTATTCTGTTGCAGTCACTCGTTCCTTTGCGTCTTGAAGGTAGTTGTTTGAACCAACGCGCAAGTTGTCAAGTCTGTGCCACATGTATTCAGAACAAGATGTAAACCGATTGAGAATGAATGCAGAAATAAAACAAAAAAGGTGGATTGACTTTATTTTCACACGTCGTCTATGAATGTAGTCTACAATATATATATATATATATATATATATACATATATATATACGCACAAAATGTCCCAAATAGCACAGGTGCTCAGTGATAAATATTACATAGATAAATAAAAACAGAATGCCTTTTTCTCCAACAATATTATATATTATATATATATATATATATATATATATATATATATATATATATATATATACTAGCCACATAAAGAAACTGTGCATTGTCAAAATATTATCCCAGTTGATAAGTATGATAACAATGTCAAAGGTACATATGAACTTTAATGGAGGGATCGTGAGACCATAACAAATCGGGAGAATTTCAATTGAAAAGTCAATCACAATGACGTCACGAGTCCACAAGCGGTCAAACGACCATGTCACAAGCTCAATAACGGTATGTTCACCATCGGCATTGAGAACAGCAGTGCATCGACGACGCATAGAGCCTATCAAACGTGCATTGAAGGCTTGTGGGATGTCTCGCCAGATTCTCTCAAGTTCTGTTGCAAGGTCAAGGACGTTATCTGGCGGATGAGGAAGACGGCGTAGACGTCGATCCATCTGGTCCCAAACATGCTCTATCGGGGAGAGATCTGGTGAATTTGCAGGCCAAGGCAGTAAGTCAACGTTGTGGTGTTGCAAGAAATCCATAGCAACCCTTGCCGTATGAGGGCGGGCATTGTCCTGTTGGAATGTTAACCCAGGGCCATGACGTTGCAGAAAAGGAATTGCCACAGGTCGAAGAAACTGATCCCTGTAGCCCGCACCAGTTAAGCTGCCCAGAACAGTCACCAAAGGAGTTCTTTGGCGTGCTGTTATTCCACCCCAAATCATCATGGAACCACCACCAAAGTGATTCCTCTCCAAGACACAGGCCTGTGCATAACGTTCTTCGACGCGTCTATAGGCACGTTGACGTCCATCACTATGGGAAATGTTAAACCTGGACTCATCTGTAAAAACAACATTTTTCCACCAAAACAAGGGTCTGCGGACATGATTTCGGCACTACATTCGGTGAGCTTGTCGATGACGTTGTGTCAGGATAGCCCGTATGGCAGGACGACGTGGTCTGATCCCGTGATGACGTAAACGTTGTCGAACTGTGTTGGGCTGGATACGGCGAAGTCATGGGATGGTTCGGGCAGTCATCACTGCAGTCTGAAACCTGTGGCAAAGATGGGTCACCCTTATCCATATGTCCTGTCTTGGCGTTGTTACACGTGGACGTCCAGAACCCTGCCTATCGATGACGTCATTTGTGTTCTGGTAGCGTCTCACCAGTGCAGAAATGGTGACCCGGTGGCAGTGGAAATGTGCAGCCACTTGTCGTTGAGACATTCCCCCCACGGACTATCCCAATGGCCTCATGACGTTGTGCAGACGTGAGCCTTGGCATGCTATGCGTTTCAATAACCGTTTAATTTTTTGAACGATCGCAAGGGCAGGGGTTAAGCTTTCCAAAGTGACAGTATTGTGTGGCATTCATTTTCTCTGTTTCTCTTTCCCGGAATGCACGTGCAACAACGTATTGCACGTCTCAAGGACGAACCCACTGACGTCACGGAACGTGGCACGTGCATGCATGTTGGATACATGTCACTAATCTCTGAGTTTAAATCCTTATGTGTCTAGATAGGTTTGATAAATTTAGATTTTAAATTTTTGTATGCACAGTTTCTTTATGTGCCGAGTATATATAGTAATTGAAAGTAAATTTTAAAAACCTGTCAACGAAGAACAGCAAAACAACTAGATTATCGCAGATATTAATTTAAAACTAGTAATTTGATCTGAAATATTTTAACAATACATCACGATACAATATTAAAACAGGCTGTAGATCACCAACAACTGAAGGTAGGACACCATACTAGGGACCATGGGGACTTACAATACCTTTGCTACCTGCATGGACTCTAGCTGGATTTACACCATCCCTTCAGCTGCTGGCGCAAATTAAACTGAATTTACTTCGAAAGGTTTGGGACTTACGTATCCTCTCAGGAGAACAATACATTTACGGTACTTCAACCTCCCTTTGGGGGCGGTCGGCTAGCCTGGTGGTTAAAGCGTCCGCTCGTCACGCCGAAGTCCCGGGTTCGAATCCCAACATGGGCACAATGTGTGAAGCCCATTTCTGGTGTCCCCCGCCGTGATATTGCTGGAATATTGCTGAAAGCGGCGTAAAACCATACTCACTCACTCAACCTCCCTTGAGGATAACAATCGCAGTTGCTAACTTAAAATACCACTTAGAAAATACCATTTATCTATTTACAAAACATATAGTCCAAACTTTATCTAGCAATTCTATAGCTGTAAAATATTTATTAATTGATCATTAACATTATAAAAAAGATTTTTGATTGTTTTGACATTGAAATATCTATCCCTTGTGATGACCGTAATTCTTTCATCACAAGGGACACAGAACGGAGGATCTTCACCTTTTAACAAATAATCATGAGTATATCTTGTATGGTCCAATGCGACATTGATATCATTGCATAATGACTTCTTCAAATCTGGACTGACAAGCCAAGTAGGTGTAACCAATGGTTGGTTTAATTTCTTTAGATTCTTGATACCTTCTTGGGTGACCCACTTCTGCTGCATCACATCACTGATGTCCGACCTAATTATAGCTTTGTGATCAGAGTATGGCAGGAGAAGTGGTTTCACAGATTTGTTGAGTGCTGCTTTAACAGCAAAATCGGCCATTGTGTTCCCAGAAATGCCAACGTGGCTGGGTAACCAACAGAGGACGATGTCGCATTGGCCGATAGCAAGATCATTATATAATTCAATAACATCCATTAAAAGTAGATGTTTACAAGATAGACCTTTAACAGCCTGGGGGCACGAGAGCGATTCTGAATGGATGATATATTGTTTATGTTTAGGGTGTTTTAAATGTGTTTAAGAGCCGTTAATATAGCGTTGGCTTCTGCTGTAAAGATAGAACTGTTGTCAGGTAAGCTAGAAGATATTGTTCTGGATCCAATGACAGTGGCACAGGAAACTGCGCCACCGTCCTTGGACCCATGTGTAGCTGAGGATTTGTCTGTATTATATTTACTTTTGAATTGGTTAAAATCTCGTCTATATTGTAATTCATTAGTTTCGGAATTTTTAAACTTGGTCAGTGTTAAGTCAACTTGTGGCCTCAATAATTGCCAAGGAGAAAAAAAGAAACGGGAAGGTGATATATTTTCCTGCTCAATGCCGGCAGCGGACATGAATGGTATAATTTTGAGCTCAAGAGGCGGAACAAGAGAAGTTTTCATGTTGTATAAATCATCATAGAAGGGAATGAAGACACAGATAAATGCTGGGTTAGAATCGTTGGAATATAGTTTTGTAATATATTTGAAAAACATAATTTTATACGGCGTTGTGTAAGAGATGGCTCATCTGCCTCGACGTAGAGACTGTCCACAGGACATGTTGTGAAAGACCTAAGACAAAGTCTTAGACCTTGGTGGTCGACAGAATCTAACAGTTTTAGGTTGCTTTTGCAGGTTCCACCATGTACGATGGAGCCATAATCAATGATCTATATAAGTGTACGAGGGGCGATCAAAAAGTATGTAGAGTCACCAAGAAAACGATACAAATGCAGCTATTTTTATGTTTTATTTTTCTACATATTATCTGTCAAGCTCAAGCAATTTGATTTTGCTATGTTCCAGTCTCACGATCCCAATTTTGTTTGACCTTTTATCTTAGTACCCTCAAAAAACGAAAAATCTACAAAAAATGCATCAAAAACTTCAGGAAACAAAATATGCAAGAAATATTTTGTGTGTTTGAGATTGACAGAAGTCCCCTAGAATCACACTTAGATATTAAAGTTCATAAAAAGGCAATTTGAAGTTACAATCGCTTGTTAAAGTGACTCCCCCCTTCATGTTGACTGAAAGAGCTTGTTTTGTAGACACTACCCATCTCCTCTCAGATGACGTAATCATAAGGATAGAACTTTTTCTAATGTTTTCACTTACTAGTATTCATACATGATTGCAAGGGTTCAAACTAAACACTGAATGGTCACACAAGTGTCAGCTCACAATATATTGTAAACAGTACAAGCTTGAATATCTGGACACAATGTTTTAGGAAGATTGAAATGGGGGTATCCTTAAAAAAACAGCCCTCGTCTAATATAAATTAAGCAATCCAAATCTTTGACTGTTGATTATGACGGGACGACATCCGATACTATACTGAACTTATTTTATATGATATACTCTTAGGGCATACCATTATCCAAGAGGTACCAAATGACAGATCGTTTTTCATTTTCTGCAGTTTTGTTAGAAATATTATACCCCAATGTGTTGTGATGACTAATATCTCGTTAACCACATTACCCGCATATGTGAACTTTTGGATATGGCTTGCTAAAGATTCCTTCAAAATAAAAGGGAAGCTTTTCAAACATTGGACATCGAGAATACAGTTAGTCTACATACTTTTTGATCGACCCACGTAGGAGGGTAGCTTGATTCCCTCCCCACTTACAGTTGGAAACGACTTTCAACGAGTCAGGTGCCTTCGGGCATATACTTTTTAGGTATTTAATGTGTGGTAAAAAAAGTCAAATCAGAGTCAAAAATAAGTCCCAAGAACTTGGCATCCTTGACAACTTTGATGGGTGCACCATTTTAAAATAATGCTGGGTCTTTATGTCTTATTTTATGGCAAAAAGTATACAATTTGTAAAACAGGTCTGGACAAAGCAATGGTTGACAAGCTGGAACGCAAACTAAGAAACAATACTAACAACGTATGAAGGTTGTGTGTTGGGTGACTAAGTAACGGCTGCTACATACTCACCACCGCCCATGTCCGTGACCCCACCAGTCTCATTCCATGAAGCCAGAAATTGGTCCAAGGATGTCGTAAATGTGTCTTTGTTGAGTAAAACCCGGCAGTAGTCACTGGACTTGTTGGCATATCCACAAACAAACAGCAAGGCTACACACAGACAAAGTCGGAACACCATGTTGTCGACAGAGCCTTTATCTGCACGGACTGTATGTCATCCAACGCAGTGTGTGCTTGGGCGTGAAGCCCCCTTGTATATTTATAACGTGACTGTCAATCAAAATACTCATGTAATAGTATTCTTGGAGTGAATCTCATCAGAGAGGATGTGTGTCTCTGTTTGGTGCACCTTATCTTTACAGGCAGATTTGACTGTCAAAAGCAAACGCCAATATATTGTGTGTTACGTCGGAATACTGTCGGAGATTATTTTTCACATTAGTCTGTTTTAAACCAAGACATTGTATTTGCACAAGAACTATACTATTCAAAAAAAACAAACCCATATCCCAGAAATCTGTTGCAAAAATGTTGTATTTTTAAACATGTATAACTCGTCCACAAATACACTTTAGTACATGAATCTTTACATCAGTTTAGAAGAAGAAAATGTCTATCCAACCAAGTGGATAATTTTAGTTAACGGAGACGTTGAGAGCGACGTCGGGTCTCCTGGCTCTAAGTCCAATCACTCTCAACCTGTTCCGTACCGTTTGACCAGACATCCTCCGAAGCCCAGGCACCCTGGCTGATGTGCTCTCACCAGTGGTAGTACGAGCACGCAAATGTAGTACTCGGGTGTACCGATCTTGGGCTACAGTGGTGACTCGAGGTCTGCCTGTACTGGGCCGGTCATTTGTTATACCTGTTTGGTTGTAACGAGCTGCAAGCCGAGCTATCGTACTCAGACTAACATTCAGACGCCTGGCAACAGAAGATTGGTAATCTCAAGCCATGCATTCTTTCAATGGCGATGTTCCGTGTCGCAGCGTCAAGACGTGGCGTAGTGATTTCAGCTTGAAACTCCTTCAAAACGAATGCCGATTTCCGAAAGTAATCTGGATTTTTATAGCCAGACAGTGCATGCTCTTTGCTGCACAATTTCAACTGGAAGGTGATTTCTGTTGCGTTGTGGCAATGCCTCTTTTAATCCTTGTAAGAAATCTCATCAAAATCAACATTTTCAGGTCAAGTCGATTTTTTACTAGTACAATTGTGTAAAATCATGATATCAACACTTGTGTTACATATTTTGACGATTCTTTGAACAAAACAGGTAATTAATAGATTTTTGTAAACACAAAATGCCTATGAGTTTCTTTTTTGGGATAGTATATAATGAACCATTACTCTGAAATTTCTGTCACAAGTATAACATCATACCTATGTGAACAATTAGTGAGATGTGAGGTGAGGTGAGGTGAAATTGGGTTTAACGTCTTGCTTGAGAATATTTCGTTCATATGACGACGTGCATGCGTGTGTAGGTGTATGTGCGGTTGCTTGTACTAGCCCAGACGTAAGCTAGTTTATAGTGCTGGCTCACTGTGATACCATGCCGCAGTGAAGCATGAATACCCCACTCAGACACATTATACTGACTACGAGCCGACATGTCCTTATTATACCCATTAATGCCGAGCGCCAGGCAAGGCAGGGACCAAGAAGTACCACATTTTCACGTCTTTTGGTATGACGCGGTCGGGGATCGAACCCGCGACCTTCCGATCTCCGGGCGGACGCTCTAACCACTACACCACGGAGGCAGTCTGGTGAGATGTTACCAAAATGTGATGTTTTCAAGACACAGTGATTTAAATTGAGTAGTGCTGTCAGATGCGTGAACCTACAATCAGGTCGACACTCACCACCTTTGGCTCAATTAATGGAACCGATACAAAAAACAACCAATTAAAAAGAACAAATAACTACAATTTGTTTCACACTGATCGATTTTAATGTTGCAAAATCACGAATTGCTCCCAACCCACAACACTGTACTAGTAATCCGCTCAAAACTGCGGGTTACACTTTGGACATCACACTCTTCTCAGCGTGAATTCCGGTCCGTTGTGTAACACCATAAAAACCCTGTACCATCTGGGTCACGGCAGTAGTTGGCAGATCCTGTTACAGTTTGGAGTGTGTTAAATCCGGGGATGGAGAACATCGCGTCTTCCCTATTGCCGTGACCGTGTGGCGTCTGAGCATCCAATCGCTGACAGACCCTGCCAGTGAGAGAGAGAGTGAGAGAGAGAGAGAGTTTTATTCAGTAAAGGGGCAACAGTTTTAGTAGTAGTAGTAGTAGTAGTACTAGTAGTGGTGGTAGAAGTAGTGGTGGGTGGTGGTAGTCGTAGTAGTAGTAGTAGTAGTTTAAGTAGTAGTAGTAGTAGTAGTAGAAGTAGCAGTAGTAGTACTAGTAGTGGTGGTAGTGGTAGTGGTGGGTGGTGGTAGTAGTAGTAGAAGTAGTAGTAGTAGTTATAGTAGTAGTAGTAGTAGAAGTAGAAGTAGTAGTACTAGTAGTGGTGGTAGTGGTAGTGGTGGGTGGTGGTAGTAGTAGTAGAAGTAGTAGTAGTAGTTATAGTAGTAGTAGTAGTAGAAGTAGCAGTAGTAGTACTAGTAGTGGTGGTAGTGGTAGTGGTGGGCGGTGGTAGTCGTAGTAGTAGTAGAAGTTGAGTTTAGTTTTACGCCGCACTCAGCAATATTCCAGCTATATGGTGGCGGTCTGTAAATAATCGAGTCTGGACCAGACAATCCAGTGATCAACAGCATGAGCATCGATCTGCGTAATTGGGAACCGATGACATGAGTCAACCAAGTCAGCGAGTCTGACCATCTGATCCCGTTAGTCCCCTCTTACGACAAGCATGGGTTACTGAAGGCCAATATTCTAACCCGGACCTTCACGGGTCAGTATTAGAAGTAGTAGTCATTATTATCACAAATGTTAATATTATATATATTATTAGTCGGACAAGGCTAAGCAGGTGAATTCGATACAGCACGCAGGTAGACCGTTCTTATATTTTCAACAGAAGTTTAAGAAGTTTTCATTTTGACATTAAACTAGGTTGCATCCTTACTGTTGACGCACTTCACGTTGACCATGGTCCAGTTCCCATCCTTCTGACACAAGCTCATCATCTGTTCACCAGCGTGTCTGTCAAGAAAACCCTTCTTGCATCTGTAGTTGGCACTGGCATGAAGACCTGTTGAGCTGTAGACAACATATGTGCCTTCTGCAGGAGTTGGAGAACCACAATCTACACTCGGCTCCGACGCTTTTTTGGCTGTAATGTAATTTTATATATAGACATTACGAAGGTACGGGTTTGCTTTTGACAACGAGGATCTGTTATGATTATCGATATGTGTACCATGTGTGAGATCAATTGCTGCAGATACGACCACTACTGATCCTACATAACATTAACCTCCTGGACAGAGCCTTCAATATCAGCATCACATCAACTTTAAAAATATTGTTGCTTCAAATGTAGGTTCAAACATATGTTAAAGACCAATTTTGTAAAGTATTCGGTCGTTCACACGAAAACATAGATCTTTCGCGTTTCACCAATAAATTGAAAACAAGCCATTCCGGATATAATGACTACTTCTTAATTATAAATATGTACAAAATTTGATAAGTTCACGTGTCAAGAAATGTTTCGTTCCTAAATATAAATATCACTAGCCAGAAGCCACGTAGTCACAAACAGCATAAGAATCGACTCAGGTGACTGCAGTCGGTTATATTTGCAGGTCGGCTGAAAAGTGTTTCACTTCATCTCATTCAAGTAATGTATGGTCGCAGTCCTGTCAAAACCTCGTATCTGACTTTTATAAAATTTTGAGATACTGGTAATCGAAAAAACTTTTTCATTTATATGTGTGCAAACTTAACACATTGAGTTTTCAACCATAACATTGCATCATTTTTTGCAATGAAATTTGCATCTGAATTCCAAACTGTTAGGCCTGGATAAAAAATACGAGGTTTTGCATCAAGTCTAGTATCAAATAGGGTATTTGCACAAGAACTATACTATTCAATTAAAGAAACGCATATCCCAGAAATCTGTTGCAAAAATGTTGTATTTTTAAACATGTATAACTCGTCCACAAATAGACTTTAGTACATGAATCTTTACATCAGTTTAGAAGAAGAAAATGTCTATCCAACCAAGTGGATAATTTTAGTTAACGGAGACGTTGAGAGCGACGTCGGGTCTCCTGGCTCTAAGTCCAATCACTCTCAACCTGTTCCGTACCGTTTGACCGGATATCCTCCGAAGCCCAGGCACCCTGGCTGATGTGCTCTCACCAGTGGTAGTACGAGCACGCAAATGTAGTACTCGGGTGTACCGATCTTGGGCTACAGTGGTGACTCGAGGTCTGCCTGTACTGGGCCGGTCATTTGTTATACCTGTTTGGTTGTAACGAGCTGCAAGCCGAGCTATCGTACTCAGACTAACATTCAGACGCCTGGCAACAGAAGATTGGTAATCTCAAGCCATGCATTCTTTCAATGGCGATGTTCCGTGTCGCAGCGTCAAGACGTGGCGTAGTGATTTCAGCTTGAAACTCCTTCAAAACGAATGCCGATTTCCGAAAGTAATCTGGATTTTTATAGCCAGACAGTGCATGCTCTTTGCTGCACAATTTCAACTGGAAGGTGATTTCTGTTGCGTTGTGGCAATGCCTCTTTTAATCCTTGTAAGAAATCTCATCAAAATCAACATTTTCAGGTCAAGTCGATTTTTTTACTAGTACAATTGTGTAAAATCATGATATCAACACTTGTGTTACATATTTTGACGATTCTTTGAACAAAACAGGTAATTAATAGATTTTTGTAAACACAAAATGCCTATGAGTTTCTTTTTTGGGATAGTATATAATGAACCATTACTCTGAAATTTCTGTCACAAGTATAACATCATACCTATGTGAACAATTAGTGAGATGTGAGGTGAGGTGAGGTGAAATTGGGTTTAACGTCTTGCTTGAGAATATTTCGTTCATATGACGACGTGCATGCGTGTGTAGGTGTATGTGCGGTTGCTTGTACTAGCCCAGACGTAAGCTAGTTTATAGTGCTGGCTCACTGTGATACCATGCCGCAGTGAAGCATGAATACCCCACTCAGACACATTATACTGACTACGAGCCGACATGTCCTTATTATACCCATTAATGCCGAGCGCCAGGCAAGGCAGGGACCAAGAAGTACCACATTTTCACGTCTTTTGGTATGACGCGGTCGGGGATCGAACCCGCGACCTTCCGATCTCCGGGCGGACGCTCTAACCACTACACCACGGAGGCAGTCTGGTGAGATGTTACCAAAATGTGATGTTTTTCAAGACACAGTGATTTAAATTGAGTAGTGCTGTCAGATGCGTGAACCTACAATCAGGTCGACACTCACCACCTTTGGCTCAATTAATGGAACCGATACAAAAAACAACCAATTAAAAAGAACAAATAACTACAATTTGTTTCACACTGACCGATTTTAATGTTGCAAAATCACGAATTGCTCCCAACCCACAACACTGTACTAGTAATCCGCTCAAAACTGCGGGTTACACTTTGGACATCACACTCTTCTCAGCGTGAATTCCGGTCCGTTGTGTAACACCATAAAAACCCTGTACCATCTGGGTCACGGCAGTAGTTGGCAGATCCTGTTACAGTTTGGAGTGTGTTAAATCCGGGGATGGAGAACATCGCGTCTTCCCTATTGCCGTGACCGTGTGGCGTCTGAGCATCCAATCGCTGACAGACCCTGCCAGTGAGAGAGAGTGAGAGAGAGAGAGTTTTATTCAGTAAAGAGGCAACAGTTTTAGTAGTAGTAGTAGTAGTAGTATTACTAGTAAAGGTGGTAGAAGTAGTGGTGGTAGTAGTACTAGTCGTAGTAGTAGTAGTAGTAGTTTAGAAGTAGTAGTAGTAGTAGTAGTAGTAGTAGTAGTAGTAGTAGTAGTAGTAGTAGTGGTAGTGGTAGTGGTGGGTGGTAGTAGTAGTAGTAGTAGTAGTAGTAGTTATAGTAGTAGTAGTGGTAGTAGAAGTAGTAGTACTAGTAGTGGTGGTAGTGGTAGTGGTGGGTGGTGGTAGTAGTAGTAGAAGTAGTAGTAGTAGTTATAGTAGTAGTAGTAGTAGAAGTAGCAGTAGTAGTACTAGTAGTGGTGGTAGTGGTAGTGGTGGGCGGTGGTAGTCGTAGTAGTAGTAGAAGTTGAGTTTAGTTTTACGCCGCACTCAGCAATATTCCAGCTATATGGTGGCGGTCTGTAAATAATCGAGTCTGGACCAGACAATCCAGTGATCAACAGCATGAGCATCGATCTGCGTAATTGGGAACCGATGACATGAGTCAACCAAGTCAGCGAGTCTGACCATCTGATCCCGTTAGTCCCCTCTTACGACAAGCATGGGTTACTGAAGGCCAATATTCTAACCCGGACCTTCACGGGTCAGTATTAGAAGTAGTAGTCATTATTATCACAAATGTTAATATTATATATATTATTAGTCGGACAAGGCTAAGCAGGTGAATTCGATACAGCACGCAGGTAGACCGTTCTTATATTTTCAACAGAAGTTTAAGAAGTTTTCATTTTGACATTAAACTAGGTTGCATCCTTACTGTTGACGCACTTCACGTTGACCATGGTCCAGTTCCCATCCTTCTGACACAAGCTCATCATCTGTTCACCAGCGTGTCTGTCAAGAAAACCCTTCTTGCATCTGTAGTTGGCACTGGCATGAAGACCTGTTGAGCTGTAGACAACATATGTGCCTTCTGCAGGAGTTGGAGAACCACAATCTACACTCGGCTCCGACGCTTTTTTGGCTGTAATGTAATTTTATATATAGACATTACGAAGGTACGGGTTTGCTTTTGACAACGAGGATCTGTTATGATTATCGATATGTGTACCATGTGTGAGATCAATTGCTGCAGATACGACCACTACTGATCCTACATAACATTAACCTCCTGGACAGAGCCTTCAATATCAGCATCACATCAACTTTAAAAATATTGTTGCTTCAAATGTAGGTTCAAACATATGTTAAAGACCAATTTTGTAAAGTATTCGGTCGTTCACACGAAAACATAGATCTTTCGCGTTTCACCAATAAATTGAAAACAAGCCATTACGGATATAATGACTACTTCTTAATTATAAATATGTACAAAATTTGATAAGTTCACGTGTCAAGAAATGTTTCGTTCCTAAATATAAATATCACTAGCCAGAAGCCACGTAGTCACAAACAGCATAAGAATCGACTCAGGTGACTGCAGTCGGTTATATTTGAAGGTCGGCTGAAAAGTGTTTCACTTCATCTCATTCAAATAATGTATGGTCGCAGTCCTGTCAAAACCTCGTATCTGACTTTTATAAAATTTTGAGATACTGGTAATCGAACAAACTTTTTCATTTATATGTGTGCAAACTTAACACATTGAGTTTTCAACCATAACTTTGCATCATTATTTGCAATGAAATTTGCATCTGAATTCCAAACTGTTAGGCCTGGATAAAAAATACGAGGTTTTGCATCAAGTCTAGTATCAAATAGAGATTATTTAAAAGATCATTTTATCGCCTAAGGTCCATTTGCATGACATGTTTTGTCAGAGTAAGAAAATACTAAATGAACCACTTATTCATGACAGCTGTACCGTGATTAATGTAGTGGGCCCTATCCATTAAAAATATCCATCTCATTTACAGTATCGTCTCTTAAGACGTCTCACAACGGGGCCCTGCACACCTGGAGAAACTTCTCTTTTGATGTAGTCTGTAATGCAGGAGGAAATGACAGGAACAATTAGCTCCCCATGACCTTAATGCCAGACGTATTACATGACGTCATGTGAAGCAACATCAAAGATGTTAAAGGTGTGACAGGCCAACTTGTGTTATGCTACAATGCACTGCCATTCAGTGATGGAGCAATCAGCACAGCTGGTAGATCCACAGTGAGAACTTCACCTTTGATTGCTTTCTGATTGTCATCTGCATGTACCAGTCGACTCATGGCTGTGGTTTCATGTTCTACTCATGACTAACAGCTCAGTCACTGGCCGATATTGGGTTCCAGAAACAGCTTATTTACCGGAATTTCTACAATAATGGGACGACAGTTTTGGTATTAGATGCAACACAAGTACCAAGGATCAAATGTTATACCCTAAAGCTGCTAAAGACGGAAACATACACTGTCAGTTATCCAGATTCTTTAGTTATGTGTCAAAACTTGTTGTTTATGGTTATTTCCACAGCATTTAATGAATTTCATAACATAGGTGGTATTTCGAGCACAATACCACTGTAGTAATGTGAATAAGCATCGAAACACATCCTCACAAAACGATAGCGCTGGAAACTTACGAGGTTTTGCATGTCACTTTTGGGGACCAATAAGGTAGGTGCTTTTGAAAATGGTTGTATCTTGGAATTCTGTTGGAGGATTGTTATGAGAATTTGACAGAAAATGCATTGATACTAAATTAATGTAGTTTTCTTCAAAAGTCAATTTTGGCAAAATGCCGACATACCAGTGTTTGACAGGACTGCGACGGTATGTACCTTTAACAAGCTGAGATGATGGACAAGCAGAATGAAGTCAAATACTTTGTACACATGTAAGATGTATTTTAGGCATTCCCAAGAATTACTCACACATTTTACTATGGAAAATATGGGGTGTTGGGATATTTTTCCATGTGTAAATTATAATTTGGTTTAGAAAATACGACTGTGCTCCTTGTTTTTCCCTTGCCAGCATCTATCCAACTCCACAGGCCCAAGGGCCAATTTTCCCACAACCATACAGGCTCGAACACATGTCCAACCCAAAGTATTAAGGGGTAGTAACTAAATGTGTAGGTAAGACTGCAAACCATAGTTTAACGATGCATTACCTTGAGCTGCCTCTACATCCCTGAGACGAATATCTCTGTTTTGTTGTCATTTAACAGTTTCTCTGCAAAAAACGATTTATGGACTTTCTGTTTCATATAAACAAAACATTCTTCAATCTTTGGAAACATCTTCTAAAGGTGGATACTAGTTCTTCTATTCCGATCGGCTGAAAAGTGTTTCACTTCATCTCATTCAAATAATGTATGGTCGCAGTCCTGTCAAAACCTCGTATCTGACTTTTATAAAATTTTGAGATACTGGTAATCGAACAAACTTTTTCATTTATATGTGTGCAAACTTAACACATTGAGTTTTCAACCATAACTTTGCATCATTATTTGCAATGAAATTTGCATCTGAATTCCAAACTGTTAGGCCTGGATAAAAAATACGAGGTTTTGCATCAAGTCTAGTATCAAATAGGGTATTTTGAAAAACAGAAAATTTCTCTTAAATGTATTCAAATAACAATTAAACAGGAAGAAGAGACAGTCTGGTGCCTGTTCAACGAGCCAGAACCATTATTGCATTCTCAAATACAACATTTAAACAAGAAAAAGATCATTTTATCGCCTAAGGTCCATTTGCATGACATGTTTTGTCAGAGTAAGAAAATACTAAATGAACCACTTATTCATGACAGCTGTACCGTGATTAATGTAGTGGGCCCTATCCATTAAAAATATCCATCTCATTTACAGTATCGTCTCTTAAGACGTCTCACAACGGGGCCCTGCACACCTGGAGAAACTTCTCTTTTGATGTAGTCTGTAATGCAGGAGGAAATGACAGGAACAATTAGCTCCCCATGACCTTAATGCCAGACGTATTACATGACGTCATGTGAAGCAACATCAAAGATGTTAAAGGTGTGACAGGCCAACTTGGTGTTATGCTACAATGCACTGCCATTCAGTGATGGAGCAATCAGCACAGCTGGTAGATCCACAGTGAGAACTTCACCTTTGATTGCTTTCTGATTGTCATCTGCATGTACCAGTCGACTCATGGCTGTGGTTTCATGTTCTACTCATGACTAACAGCTCAGTCACTGGCCGATATTGGGTTCCAGAAACAGCTTATTTACCGGAATTTCTACAATAATGGGACGACAGTTTTGGTATTAGATGCAACACAAGTACCAAGGATCAAATGTTATACCCTAAAGCTGCTAAAGACGGGGGGGAAACATACACTGTCAGTTATCCAGATTCTTTAGTTATGTGTCAAAACTTGTTGTTTTATGGTTATTTCACAGCATTTAATGAATTTCATAACATAGGTGGTATTTCGAGCACAATACCACTGTAGTAATGTGAATAAGCATCGAAACACATCCTCACAAAACGATAGCGCTGAAACTTACGAGGTTTTGCATGTCACTTTTGGGGACCAATAAGGTAGGTGCTTTTGAAAAATGGTTGTATCTTGGAATTCTGTTGGAGGATTGTTATGAGAATTTGACAGAAAATGCATTGATACTAAATTAATGTAGTTTTCTTCAAAAGTCAATTTTGGCAAAATGCCGACATACCAGTGTTTGACAGGACTGCGACGGTATGTACCTTTAACAAGCTGAGATGATGGACAAGCAGAATGAAGTCAAATACTTTGTACACATGTAAGATGTATTTTAGGCATTCCCAAGAATTACTCACACATTTTACTATGGAAAATATGGGGTGTTGGGATATTTTTCCATGTGTAAATTATAATTTGGTTTAGAAAATACGACTGTGCTCCTTGTTTTTCCCTTGCCAGCATCTATCCAACTCCACAGGCCCAAGGGCCAATTTTCCCACAACCATACAGGCTCGAACACATGTCCAACCCAAAGTATTAAGGGGTAGTAACTAAATGTGTAGGTAAGACTGCAAACCATAGTTTAACGATGCATTACCTTGAGCTGCCTCTACATCCCTGAGACGAATATCTCTGTTTTTGTTGTCATTTAACAGTTTCTCTGCAAAAAAACGATTTATGGACTTTCTGTTTTCATATAAACAAAACATTCTTCAATCTTTGGAAACATCTTCTAAAGGTGGATACTAGTTCTTCTATTCCGACTATATAATTTGCAGGTCCTTATGAATCATTATCTAATGTGATAACATTATGATATCATGTGTTAACACAAAGGAGACGGTACCCTGCTCAACTGGTGGCAGCCGTCACAAACACATGCAACGGCAAGTCAATTATTCAGCTGATAACACCTTACCGTATGGTGTAAATGATAATATGGTTTGCTGTATACTTTAGCTATATGGCGGAATAGATATGGAGTGAGCGAGTGAGTGTGCAGTTTTACAGGCTATCATCACAACTGATGTGGGATCAAAACTGAACAACGTTAACTGCAAACTGAAAGACCTAAGCTACCAGAACGTCATTGTTCGAGGCCATGTTCTACGACCGTAGAGTAGTATGAACGAATAAGACAATTGTATTGAAGAAAACGTTACAAGTAATTTAGTGACTTTAATCTCGAGGTCATTAACACGCTTGCCTTTGCTTTCTGAAAATAGAATTTGCAATGCAGTAAAGCAAGAAGAATCATATTGATTACTTTCCCGCTAGATTGTGGGGCATGGTGGGCGCCAGGCTAGTGAACCAGCAAGCTTGAGGGGTCGGGATCGAGCCCACTAGCAATCCTGTAAAAACCTTGGTGTAAAAAAAAGTGTAAAAAACCTTGGAGTCAACTTTGTGTGCAGTCTCTTCCAGTGTTGTCACAACCCCTAGTGTACAGTACACAACCCTGTGCACTTAAAAGAACCAGATGGTGGCCATATGAATACGTGCAAACGCCGAGTTGCGGGTATAACAACGTACAGTAAACTTGGACAAAATACTGTGACTATATGTCCCAGTCAACTCAGCTGTGAATGGCTACATCGTTGAGATGGGATAGCCGCAGAACTTTAAAAAGTATTTATGCAAATGTTAAAGCCTGCGTTCGAACAAACAACAATGTTCTTACAGTCGTTTAGGCAGGCAAGGTTGTGTCCTAAGCCCTTTCCTATTTTCGTTTTTCATCAACGATCTAGTGTCTGAGATTAACCGTCCATGCTCCACTGGTGTCCAATTATATCCAGATATTATTGAAATATGCCTTTTGATGTTTGCCGATGATGTGGTGTTTTTCTCAGAGTCAGTAAGTGGTGTACAGAGGCAAATTAATGCTTTAGAAACCTACTGTAATAAATGGTCCTTAAATGTTTAAATGTTTAAATGCTTTTGCCCATTTCATAGCGAATGATCAATTATCATACAATGTGTTGAATATGATTTGGAAGGAAGGTATAATGATATGGCAAGAGGACTTAAAGAACTCGCAGATTATGAGGTCTTCCTCAGCAGTTTTAATATATTTAAGTTTATTAATACTTGACTGGATTTCCTCCCGGCTAATGGGTGCACTGAACATATCGTTAGTTATGTGCCTGGCTGTCATGTATAAATATGCTGTCACCATCTTCTACGGAGTCACTGGGATTCACACTGGAGTCCCAATCAAAGAGATTCATAAAGTTGTCGTTACATTAATTTTCTGTAATGTTATTTTCATTTTTTTGTGAACATGAGATGTACTTTAGCTTTCGCCAAAATAATTGCGGATTAGTAATTGAGTCCGAGAGCTCACTCATATTTCTGTTTTCAAACTTACGTTTCGCATCTCTCCACGTAGTTTTGTGGATATATCTTGACGAAATATATAAATCTCGAGTTGGCGTGTCCTTATGCTTTCTAAATCTATTAAGGTAATGACATCACTGATGTTTAAGTGCTTGACATGTATTGTTAAACCAATCTGGGTTTCGTTTGGACGATGTAATGGTCCGTTTCATGCACTCCGCTGACTTGACTATTACATCACTAAACATTTGTATACCAAGCTCACAATCAGAACACATTACTTCTGTTGCATTCTCCAACTCGCTTGACAAGTTCAAAAGATTTTAAACAAATTCGCCTTCCTTTTCGTGTTTCCAGATGTACTTAACAATAGGTGTATTTATAGACATTTCATTTGTAGCTAGCTGTTTGACACGTATCGACAATAGAGCAAACGATATCGGAAGATGATGTGATTCACAACGGGAGATAACATCTGTGTTCAGGTTATAGGTTAATTTTGTTTGTATGTAAATTGGTATGAATGTACAGAGTGTTTGCATTTAGGTAGCAAGAGTGATTGTATAAGTATTAAGTGCAACAGATATGTGTACTAAGTTGTATGCAAAGTGTGTAAGTGTTTGAGCATTTAGTATTAAATTGTGAATGTGTGAGTTAATGTATGTATAAAAATGTGCATGTATGAGTTTAAAAGTAGGAAAGAGAATTTTTGGTTATGACAATGTGAAAATATCAGAGAGAGAGAGAGAGGGAAGAGAGGAGGGAGGGAGGGAGGGAGAGAGAGAGAGAGAGAGAGAGAGAGAGATATTGAGTGAGAGGGAGAGAGAGTGAGTTAAGATATAAAGTCACATCGGCAATATTTCAGCCATATCGTGAGAGAGAGAGAGAGAGAGAGAGAGAGAGAGAGAGAGAGAGAGAGAGAGGAGAGAGGGAGAGAGAGGAAATTTCTTGAGGTTTAGGATAGGAATTGGTTCCTGATAATGCAATACACACAGGCAACTAAGCCTGTACTCAAGCTCTCTGTGCTAATGTACTAAATATACTAGTGCTCAAAAGACACTATACACAGCAAATATAACACAAAAATTCACAAACACAGAAATGAAGGAAACAGAAGGCGAAACAAGTTAATGAATCACCTAAACGTCACAAGAGAGAGAGAGAGAGAGAGAGAGAGAGAGAGAGAGAGAGAGAGAGAGAGAGAGAGAGAGAGAGAGAGAGATTTGAGGTGATTCAGTTACCTTAGACTTAGGCAAGTCGGGTAACTCTAGATGGGTGACTGAGAAGGACGTGGGTGACTGAGAGGCACATGGGTGAGAGACAGCTGTGCAGTGAGAGTGTCTCACACACTAGATTTGATGGATGTAGAAGCTCAAACAACATGGTATGTACCCCAACTTATTCTTATATGTATTTATTTGGGTAGCATTATGTTAATTTGGTAATTTTGAGTGTCTTTATGTTGCTTTTGAAGGTCACTTTGTCAGTGAATGAATGTCAGCCATTTTGTGTATTTTCACTGAGGACTGAAACGTATGATCCTTGATTTTTGTTATTTCAGTCAATCTTCAAAATTTAACATCTTCACACTTCAATATCGTCATATTCAACATATTATCATGAGGAATAAAATTTGAGGAAATGACATTCGTTTGCAGTTGGACTTTTGGAAAAGAAACCTAGAACTCTACAACATCAAATCTTCATATCTGATTAAATGCTGTAGCTGGGCCGATGATATACTCAATGACACTACACCCTGCGTGACCACACTGCACAATCCGTTGCCAATCACTTCCAGGTCAAAGTTCGGACCATCTATAGGCTGCAGCAACGGGGCCACCAACACCACAAATGATCGCCCCCGTACTGGCACACCCAGGGTGACCACAAGACGACAAGACCGCCATGTTGTGCGACAGAATGTACAGAATCCCTTAATGCAGGCATCCGAAACAGCACGCCAGACAGTGGGAACACACCGAAGACCAATCAGTACTGATACAGTACGCCGACGTCTTAACAGCGGGAATAACACTACACCCTCCGTGACTTATAAAAGTATAATCACCTTTACCCTTGTCTGTACCATATCTTCCATTTGGATGTTAAGCAGGCGACACATTTCTAAAAGACTTTTTCCAAATGTGTTTATATGAGTATCGCAAGATATTCGCGTAGATGAGAATTGTTTATAAAGTCATTCAAATCGTTACAATCATCCGATATGTACTTATAATCATCTTTGTTAAAATCTGCTTGTTGGCCAGTTCTCGCATTTTAATCACCCACCAGAAGGACATCACTGTATGCAACATTCGCAGAAGAATCGCAATAGTCATTAAATAGAATATCGATACCATTTTTTGGAATAGATGCGTGAAGAATACCAGTTTGATCCTTCTGGTTGTATATAAGCAAATATAAACATTCTATCGTTTACAGTGGAAAACATACTTTTGTCATTTAATCCTTTATCAACGTGTTTAACGTATGGCTGGTAACATTCTTTGACACATAGCAGGATACCTCTAGATAATCTGCCTCACTCTGACAATCGTACACCTGGGATATGGTAACACTTATATAAAGGAAACCATGACACAATACTACTGAAATCACAATCAACAACCCATGTCTCTGTTAAATTAATAATGTCATATCCTTTAAAAAGGTTCATAAAATCATGGTAATGTAATTCATTAAACAGTCCAGACACGTTCCATGTTATAAATGAAACGTCACTACCTGAATCAGTCACCTTCTCTGGTAGATCCTCATGGATATGGGTTGCTTTTACTGGGGCCCGGCCTTACCCCTATCTGTACTCCCGATCCTTTCTCGTACGCCTATTAGGGTCAGCCTGTATGGTGCTGGATCTGGGTGCTTTGCGTCTAGGCTCTTGGGGTCCGTCAATCTCGTGGTTGCTAGAGGCACAGGCATAGTCTACGACAATAAGGTTACCGTTAATGTAGTATCCTTTCTTTCCCGTATCTGGAAGCTCTTTTAGTTGCTCTCTTTGTTTAATGGCTAGGTCGTTTGCTATACCAGTTTTATTTTCCTTTAGTTGATTTTGTTTTTTCAGAGCCCATATTTTGCTTTCGGTATCCCAAACTGCAGCTATAAGTGGTCTTGGTTTTCTGACCTGTTCACCACCAATCCGGTGAGCACGTTTAATGTCGCTGGGTTGTATGCAGTCCTCAGGCTCATTACAGACAGAGTTCAACACCTGCACTGCCTTGTTTCTGTACTCACTTTACGACTCATGCTGTTCAGTCTCAGGGATCCCAAATAACACAATATTGTCACTGCGGCTGAATATTTCCAGTCGTTCCAGTCGGTTTTCAAACTGGCCAAACGGATCACATTAGGATGCATACTTATCTTCAATATTGTCGTTAAGAGAGTCAATATCTAATCGCAGGACATGTTGATCCTCACTCAACCTACTAACATCACTCGTCAGCTCAGTTATTGAATTCGTAAGAGACTTCATGTGTTCCTGTATATGTAAAACTTCTTGTTTTAGTTGTATGACGTCGCCTTGAATAACATTCTTCATTTCAGTGAGGGCAGATAATAAGTCAGCTTTCATACTGTCAAGGGCTGCTTGAGTGACTGGGCCGGGGTTTTGTTCAACGTGACGTCAACACAATAGCGCTTTACACCGAGCTCCCCTTAACGGTATATTACGCACTAGGAGTTAATCGTGCTTGTAGTTGATACAACAGGTCATTGACCCATACACATGATCGACAGATATACTTTCATACTTCAAATCAAATCCAAGTACCGAAAAGGCAAAGTAAAAAAAAATTGCGTGGTGAATACTACCGAGCAGGCATGCAACATCAAGAAGGCTCTCCATTCTGTAGTTGTACTCAGTTGTTGTTGACCAATTCGTTTCTGGCTTATACACAGTTGCCATCTTGTCAATCTAGCTCCTGTCTGGTCGATGTGTGTACCATCCAATACGTATCTCCACCAACGTATCGTATCCAGTATTGTTATATCCACCATTGTGGTCGACAAAACTCGAAGCACCTATGTCCGACGCGTATTTGAGCTATTTGTACGTCCTATCTGTCTTCAAGTTG